TTTCCTCTCGTCCTATCGCCAGTTACTTGGGAAAAGAGACCGACACCCACCTCGCTACAGCCTCCTTTCAGGTAGTTGTAGAGAGCGATGAGGTCTCCCCTCAGGAGAGGAGACCAGAGGGAACCCCAGTTCCCTCAGTCGCTCCTCATAAGACTTCTTCTCCAGACCCCTCACCAGCCTCGTTGCCCTTCTCTGGACACGCTCTAACACCTCGACGTCCTTCTTGTAGTGAGGGGCCCAAAACTGAACACAGTAGTCAAGGTGCGGCCTCACCAAGTACAGGGGCACGATCACTTCCCTACTCCTGCTGGCCACACTATTTCTGATACAGGCCAGGATGCCATTGGCCTTCTTGGCACACTGCCGGCTTGTGTTCAGCCGGCTGTCGACCAGCACCCCCAGGTCCTTTTCCGCCAGGCAGCTTTCCAGCCACTCTTCCCCAAGCCTGTAGTGCTGCATGGGGTTGTTGTGGCCCAAGTGCAGGAAAGCTGCACTTAAGCAGGAAAGCTGCTTAGAAGCTGCTAAAGCCTGTATTACATGCATTAGAAGTGAGTAAATTTAATTTACTGACAAATTATTCAAATTACTCACAGATTGGGTTGTATTGGAAAACAACGCTGAATCTCCCATACTGTTGGGTTACCTCTACATTAGGGATCCAGTGTGTGTGCTCTGAGATGGTCTGCAGTGCAAAGCAAAAGGCAACAAGTGGTAACAACTGGGAAGTTTGCTTCAAAAGCTTATCGTGATCTGAACTTAAACCCCAATGCAGGTGCAACTGAAGTGACAAAATTTTCTCTGGTACAGCCAATGATGCCGTTTGATGTTATGTTTCTACACAAGACACTATCTTCCGCTTCTGCCTCACAGCACCACCACCAGTTGTCCCACTGAAGACTTTGAACACAATACAAAATCAGGTAGATAATGCTCAGCCTGCTTGCAAAAGAGTTGTTCTTTTTTCAGTATACTGGTCCTGTTAACAGCAGTATTTGTTGAAGTCCCTTTCCAACAAGGAATCTGGTGGATGAGCTATTCAATTAGCATTATAGAACAAGGATTCGTTAACTTGAAGGCCAAATGAAGTCAGCAGAACACCAGATCAGTGGCTCTCCTACTCAGATTTTCTTAACACTAACCGTTGCATTTCACTTAGCTACAGCCATACACACACAGACTGCAAGCTGCCTTGAGGGTAAGTGATATGAACCCTGGAGTGTTAGCAGCCAGAGGACTGCAAGGGAAAGATTTCAGAGTCCCTGGAAGTCTACTAGCTGCGACAACCAGGACTTTTGATTTACAACCGTGACACACCCATAACACCAACAGGTTCAGTGGGACCCATGAGTGACCAGCACCGGACAGGATCAGCAGTGCGCAGATGTCTCTGAGGGTGAAATGTTTCACAACTGGTAGGAACGCTTTCTCCCACTGCAGGAAGGATGGAGATACCTGGGATCAGACCTGACACAGTGCTCCTTCTTTTCTCAACCCCTTCGGCACACCCAGTTGTGGCAGTCTCCCAGAGCTTTTCTTCCTTGGTACTCCCACAGGACGAGGTAACTCATTTAAAGAGTTTGGATTTGTCTCACTGGACTGCCCAGGAAAATTAAACTGCAAGCTTCCTCTGCAGCTCCCTTTTTTAATCTTTTTCTAGAAAACAAGTATAAAATATTCCAGAAGAAATACAGTGCAAAGAACGAAACACTCACATGTATGTCTCAACATCATAGCAAAAGAATATAATAAATATAATAAAAATAATAATAAAGTAATAATTTATGAAAGATAGCTCACATTTACAGTTGTGTGCAGTGCCACTTAGTTTTACTGTGGGCTGCAGCACTGTCACACTGCAGTCCTTCTCGCTGCTTTGGAGTGAGCTATTGCTGACTGCAGTGACAGTCCACAGCGGTCAGCCGATGTAGAAAAGGTCTTTTACAATCACGTCGCCATTCCTGAGCCTGCTGTCATCCCCCTGTGAAATTTCTGCTATCGATATACTAGACTGAATAACCTTTGGAAAAAGCCCTTCAGGCTGCAGTTTCCCAACATCTTAGTAGTTTTCACTGGCATGTGGTAACGCATATATTTCCAGAACTTCTTGTTTGGAGCAGCAGAAATAGAAGACTTCCAGGTAATGACTGGTAAAATCCGAAGAGCCTTCTTCACTACTGGAGGCAAAGTCTCTGGCTCTTGGAAAGCCTGGAACTTTATTAATACCAGTTTGATCTTTTTGTCTTCCAACGCACAGTTCACTGCTGCCTGCAGTTCAAAGATGCTTGGTCCACTGACGTAGGCTGGGCTCAAAACAATTATTGCTCGTCTGCTTTGTTTAATAGCTGTAACAACTTCATCTGTGTATGCTGGAGAAGAAATGGCGATCGTTACTGCATTCTATAATGGACTTTTTATCTGATCAGTTCCTTTATCAACAGCTAAACCCAAGAAATTGGGAAAACCAGAAATAGGGATGCTGAGTAATCACATAACCCCTAGAAATGTGTTTGCTGTCAGAGGGTACTGCGGCTGTTCTTATACAGCCTGGAGAACACAACTTGCTGCTCAGGAGGCGGAGGGCACAGCTGAGACCTCAACAAACTTTGTTGCTACTCAAAGAGGGTCTCAAGGGACACTTGGACTTGTCTTTTTCTCTCCCAGGGACAGGTACTGAGGGCTTTCTAATTACTGCAGGTAGAACTGAATAAAGTTGCTCAGAAAGTTAATTACTGAAATATTTGGGGTCTTCTTTTCAGGGAATGGAGTCTGCTTGCAAAGAAATTCTTGGACAAGAAGCTTTGTCTCAGCCTAGTAGCTCCCCAGCGACCACACTCAGACGTGTGTGTGCCTCAGGTGCAGGGGCCAGATATAAAGATCAAAACATGACGAGATTTGAGCAGAAACTCCAGTACCAAAATATACCATTTGCTGATCTGGTGCGTAAGGTTTTTTGGAAAGTGAAAAACAATTTTCTAAAGAACTGAAGATTTTCTACCATCCACAGGGACCTTACCTCCTCCTGGAAGAACATCTCTTTCAAGAATGCATAACTTGTATCCATATTTATTTTCCAGCATATCTGGAAGAAGCTCCAGGGCAAATTTTTCCTCACTAATTAAGGTAGAGTCACTTTCAGAAGGGTCTAGTTTTGCATAGGACACAAATGCATCAAATTCTTTGCCATCTAAAAAAAAGAAGTAAGTACCACTGTATACATTAACAAGTCTGTCTGAAGCATTCAGCTTCTTCCTTAATGCTCAGTTTCCATTTGTATCTATTTAAGTAGGTACAACACAAACCTCAAATTATCACCTCTTCATGAAGTACAGCCATCCAGTTATGCAAAGCCAACCCTTACTCCTCACTGTCTTGCAAATGTTGTAGACATACACTACCAAAGCAAATGAGGAAGCTACAGATGACTAGTGCAAGGAAGTTTAAATCAAGCATTTTTCTGCATTTTCAAAAACATGGTCCAGTTTTCACCAGTGGAAGATCTGGCCCCTTCCAGGCAAAATCCGTGTTGTAGGGAATGATTCCCAATCTTTTCTCTCATTTGCCCCAGTGCTGATTCCAAAAATACTCATCAATGCACAACCTACTTTGAAAATATAGTGAATTTTAAAGGAACAATGTTCTTAGATATCAGTTGCTTGCAGAAGATGTGCTGTTTTCATACACTGTTATGTTTGTATTCAGAGAGACTTGTGCAAGTAGCAAAGCCCAAGTCTGATCTAAATATCAGCTCAGACGCTGAGCCCTGACCAGTTCCTGAACTTTGTTTCAGTCTCATTAAAAGAATATGTTTGTGAGGTGCAGATGAAAAATATATAAAGAACTTTTCTCAGCTTTGAAACACCCTGGTACCAATGACCTGAATTAGGCCCATTCTTAACTACAAACAAATCTTATCTATTTGCTAAATAAAATTTGAACTACACTTGAGGGAGGAGGAAGCAAAACAAAAGGAATTGCTGGTGAAAGCAAAAGGCACAGCGGACTCAGTCCGGTTCCCCCTATGTTGTTGCTTGATGCCATTTAAGGTGTGCTAAGGTTGATGGGACCGCCAAATTTGACATGGGAACTATTGGACACTCAAATCGTTTGGAATGGCAGGACATCCTCAGGCAGTACAAATGACATCAGACACCTATGTTCAATCGGCTGAATTGTATCACATGTCAATACAGTTAATAGAAACCAGAAAGAAATTCAGCTGTTTAGTGTAGAGTCCTACTGCAGGGTGCTGCTGCAGGGCGAGCTGAGAAGCTCTCTAGATTTCACCGTATTGACTACATCTTCACTGCACGGGAACTGAGACACCTACCTCCAGCACAGACACCTAAGTAATGGTGTTGAGTATCACCCCCTGCCTCAGTGTTAACCTCCTGATTTCTATCCTTAGGTGTAAGATTAGGATCACAAACCTGAGCTAGATCCTACAGGTTCCCACAGGATTTAGAAGAGCCCATATGGATTCCAGGGAGCTGAGGAAATACACATGGAAAACTAATGACATGCATGAGCTGGGGTTGAACAGCTACATTCAGAACCAGCACGTAGCAGAAAGTATGTCATCAAAACATCAAACAAAACATAGGTGTGCAGATTAGGTTCGGAGGCCAAGCATATAATTAGACAACTACACTCTGAATTGAAGCTCCTTTGAAACTGTTTTTAAATGACAATAAATTGCACCACAAGCCAGCTATTCCTCATTTCACCCACAGAGGTCACTGCAATCTTATTAGACAATGACCATTAATAAATACATCGCCATTTTCCTTTATAACACTACTGTTACAATAGCAAGTTAAAGACACATACACAGTAAGCAGCACTAGGATTTTTTTTTCCCTAGAATTGTACAGAAGGACAGTTACAACCTGAGGAACTTTTGGCACAAACATTTAAGATGCCCAAAGGGCATCTTAAATGAAGAATACCCGAGTTAAGCGACGTGACAGCATAGGCTATCTATAAATGTTAGTATGCCAACTTCTGCATTGTTTCTTTCTCCTTGTGGAAGCAGGCAAGATTTTTAAGAGGTATATCTGAATTGGCTAAGGAGGGTTAGAGAGGCATGAGAAAAAAGGTGACCTTACTGCTGTCTTCAACTACCAAATGGGAGCATACGGAGAGGATGGAGACAGATTCTTCTCTGAGATGCACAGTGATAGGAGAAGAAGCAACAGACACAAGATGCAACACAGGAAATTCTCATTAGATGTTAGTGAAAAAGTTTGCACTGTGAGAGTGGTCAAACACTGGAGCACGTTGTCCAGAGAGGTTGTGGATTCTCTAGCCACAAGTTCCTGAGCAACCTGGCCTAGGTTGGCTCTGCTTTGAGCAGGGTGTGGGATCAGACGACTCCCAGATGACTCCCTTCCGACCCTGTGGGATTCTGCAATTCTCTGATTATGTACTAAGAGGGATGGAAGAGAAGAAATGATGGGAAGGAAGAAACGGCAAAATTAAGTCATAACTGCTGCTTTGCTGCTATATGAGCAAACCCTTTCAGACCTCAGGTGACTTGATATGCATCCACTATGAAGTGAGAAGGACATAGACTTACAGGTGAGAACACATTTTATGGCAAATCACCTTAGGCAGAAAACCATCTGGGTAGGCATAGTTGGTCTGCACACTCCATGCCCCTACGCTGCAAATGGTGCTGTGTGCATGTGGTACATGAGAGTCAGGGAGCAGGACACAGGTTGCCACAGTGGAACCTAACGGTGTCTCCAACTTCAGTGCATAAATCTTGGCAGGTCTGTCTCTGTCCTACTGACATACAGGGTGAGCTCTAAGGGGACTTTCCAGAGGTTCTTAAATCAATTTGTTACCAAATAGAGGGGAAATTTTGAGTGATTTCCCAAATCGCTTTTGCCAGCTGCCTTAGGGCTCACAAAAATACTTTCCAAAGGGCAGTTAATTGTCTCATTGCATATGTATTTATAGATACCTAGATACAGTTATTTCACACTCATGTATATCTACATATACACTTGCAAACACAAAAGCAGACTCAGACACCTATATCTCAAGCTGCATCAAGATTCAAGAATTTTTAGAAAAATTTCCTTGGGTGCATACTATCAGATTTCTTTCAACCCAGGTAAGAAAATTGTATGTTAAATTCTTTGAAGTAGGCACTGTCATTTTTACACTGCCTACTATGTTGGAGGCCCATTTTAGCTGAGATGATGGGGCAATGCTACTACGGAGATTTGAAATATCGGAAGCTTATCACTCTGCTGTAAATGTCAAGATGGTCAACATAATTTTTAGAAAGGAAATATGAATATTTCCCAAACGTACACTACTCAGTTGTTGCCCTGTATCATCTTATTTCTCTCCTTTGTTTATTCTTCTGAAAAATTATTTGGCTTCAAATGAAAAATACAATAGATTCTGGAGTCCTTCACTTAGTTCTGCAAGGACATTTGATTCTTGTCCACAGGTTCTGTTGAACCCTTTAGGAGAATGAGGTTAAAATGTTGGAGATGCTCTATTATTCCCTGCAAAGGGACTGCCAAAATTCAACTTCCTACTCTTCCTATCCCTAATTTACTTCCATGGGTAAATTAGGGATATTGTAAAAGGCTAACTGTGACATTTCAGTTGGTGTTAGGTATTTCCTCCACCATTTTTTTCCATCTGAATCCACTGAGCATCTTGCTAGCTTTAGCAGCCTTTGTATTGGCTCAAAGAGAACACGGTCATTAAGATAATTTAACTGAATGGTTAATTCACACCAGATTAACCCACATGGCAAAAGGCAGTAGAAAAACTGGAGAAAATTAATATTATACCATGTTTCTTACCTCCTGTAGTTTCGTTGTGGACCAGGTAACTTCGGTACATCAGCACTATTTCAATCCAGTGCTGGTAAACAAAGGCAGTGCACAAAAGGAATGCAAATAGAGTAGAAATGGCACTGCATAGTATGTATAAGAGAAACACTGTAGAAAGAAAAGGGTCTATCATAACTCAGGCTTTCCAAAATAATGTTGATACTTAGATGAAAAACTCAGTCCAGAAATGGGGGCAAACCATCTCACTATCTTCATTCTTGCCCCGCTGGCAAACTCTAGGGAAGTCAGCAATTAGTTACAAACCTCAACATGGAGTTTCAGTCTACCATCGGGGACCTTTTTTGAATGGTATGTCTGTGATGGTATGAAAAGCCAATCTGTGATGGAAGGCACAGATCAAACAGTCTGTGGTACACTTAGCAGGGCTGAAAGTAGTCATCGCTTGAGATGGAAAAGTCACATCAGAACACACATAGCTGCACACAGTGCCCTGCTGGAGACTTCCTGTGCCACTCCAGTGATGAATCTCCACTGTGAACTATGGTTCAATGGTTTAATTTCCACACTGATTCTGGTTTTGGCCTTTGCTTGAAAGGCTGCCACATTCATATCAGTTATGGTAACTTCTCAGAAACATGCACGCTAAGGACTGGGGAAACAAACAGAAATGTCCTATGAAAATCAAGGAATACTATTGCTTTCAGCAGCCACTCTGCCTCAGTTTAGTAGACCGCCTATTAGTGTTCAGAGATGCTACTCTCCTCTTCCTCCCAGTTACTCTCCAGCTCCCGCTTGGCCCACCTGCGTGCAGTAAGTCCCCAGATACCCCCGTCCTTCTGAGTAGTCCTCAGAATAATGTGCCTTTCTAGACATCTGACAAATCAAACTTTTCCCATCCAGCTTCAAGAAACTTCTGCAGCTGGCTAAAAAGCCAGTGTCAATGGGGAATAAATTTGCAGCAGTGAGTAAATCAAAATGTGTCTTCAAGGGCAAATAGTCATCCATCGATAGTTTTACCTCTCTGCTTTCTTTTCAGCTGGATCACAGCAGTGGCGTTCCCCACCGAATTCTCAGCAAAGCACGTGAAGTTGCTTCTGAGGTCCCTTTCGGTAACTTCTTTCAGTTTCGCAACATGAAGAAGTGTGTGCCCCCTTAAACCTTTTGGACAAACACTAAAGAGAAAAAAATATGTATTTGCATTATACCTTTGCTGTTCATCCACACAATCTCCAAATGTCTTAAATACAAAGAAAGAGGAGCTTGCAACTTCTTAACATTCAGCTTGAACCTTTAACAGCAATGCAATATTCTGGTTTGGAACTTCCATTTGGATTTACATTGTAAGAAAATACTAACATCAAAAGTCTGCAGACTGAAAGGTTTATTCTTAATTCATCAACTCAGCAAAATACTTAAGCACTTGCCTAGTTTTAAATATATAGTCCCCTTTGACTTCTATAAGATTATTTCTGTTTTTCTAAGATGTAAAAAAATCCCCCAGGGAAAATGCAGGGAAATGAAACTTCAAAAAGGAGCCCTAAGAGAGGACTAGCTGGGCAAAAAGACTGAGCAGCACAGCCTCTTGCACAGGGGTGAAAAGCCCAAGGACAGGATAGGCAAACAGAGTAAGACAGATACAAGGGACGGAAGTATAGGAAATGAAGATGTAACAGAGGAATCCCTTTGGGGCTGAGTGAGGGTTGTGAGGAACAGATCTGCGTCTGCAACCACTCGAGAACACCCAGGGTTTCTGCGTCTCAGCATTTCTCTTTGAAAGCCACAAGTACAGGCGTCTCTGGGTGGTCCCGAAGGCACCTCACATCATGCCACTGCAAAATGACAGTCTACCATGGCCCTACCTCTGCTAACTCAAGATACACAGGTGTGAGCATGGGCAAGGATTCAACCTGTACTGAAAGTCTGTTGGGAATGCTTTATTCATTTGGGTTTTTAAAAAATAAACAAACAGCAATTGTATGCATGCAAAAAGCTAAAAACTTGGTAAGAAGAACATTACAAAGCTAAACATTCATAAGTTAGGAAAATCCAATTTCCAATCTACCTCATGAATGAATGTGTGTGTGCGTGTCCATGTGTGTGTGTGGTATCATCATTTGTTATTTTTTCCCATATGACTCCTATTAAGAACTTAATTTTAGCAGTGACAGCAGGGCTTTTCCTTCCCCCAGCGTACAGAAAAGTTTTCCCATGAAGATGACTCAGGACTGTGTAGTGAAAGACACACTTGTCTATGTTGCCTCCACTATGTTTCTTGCCCAAGTTGGACACGTTAAGCGACGTGACAGACAGGGAAGTACAGGAAGGAAAGGGAAGTATGGTGACTATTTGGGTTGTCCCCAGGTCACAGGAAACCTATCCCACACACATTGCTCCTCTGCAGGGTCTGGTAATTCTTGCCAGGGAAAATGGCTGAAATTCAGTGTCCTGAAATTCAGTGCTGCGAGTCCTCAGACTGACTCAATAAACACACCCCAACGTCTGAGGTACCCAAACTCCTTTCAATGTCCACAGTACTGTTTTATATAAACCAGATCTGGTTTATCCCCACCTTGGAGACAGCTTCCAAAGACAGATTGTGTGAGTTGCTAGTAAGGCACAACAGAAGGAACACTTGAAAACAGCTGATGTGGGCACAGGCAACCAAGCTCCATTCATGTTGAAGCTGTCCCTGAGCTAAAGCCTTAGGAAAAAGAGTTAAGATTGCACAGAAAGTTGGAGTTCTTGACTTTATGGCCATCAGTATGTGCTTCTGTATGTGAAGTGCATGTGCCTGTCAGACACTTATGGACATAATATGTTGAAAAACAGAGCTTTCTGAGTTTCTTTCAGTAAAATGTATTCATTAAAGCTATTGTAGAAGGATTTGTACAGTTGCTGACTGTAGTAGTAATCAGACTACTGGTTTTTTCTTACCTTGTTTCCTGATTCAATTTCTCATTTATATTTTCTTTGTTGTTTCTTTTCCATGTTACCCTCATCGAAGAAACTCTTTCAAACCCAAACTGTACACGGCATTCCAATTCAAGTGGCTTTCCTGGAACAAATTAGCACAGGAAAACCATGCATGGAGGTCACCAGAATATTCTTCTCTTAAATAGCCTGGGATCTGTATAACACGATGCTTCCTTTAATATCCACAAAGATATATATAAAGAAAAAAGCTACATTTTACATAAAATTCTCATACTCCTAGAAAGCAAAGCTGTTTTGCTTTATCAAGATCTATCGTTATCTGTCAATACCTCATTTAAACTTCTTCTTTCACTTTCAGATGATGAATCGAAACTTACCAAGCTCTGCTTCAAGGATCACCACACCATTGGGATACAAGAAGTTTGGTGGATGGATAGTGGTTTTTGCTGCAATTGACAGGAATACTGTTAATAACTGTAATGCTATCATCAGTGCAGAAGACCAGAGAAAATGTCTTTCAGAATTTTCTTTTTTGAATGTTGGGTGGCATTTGGACACCTAAGTCCAAGAGGATGATTTACAGTTGTTGAGGTGTTTGAGAGTGCACAGATAAGGGAGTTTTGACCACAAAACTTATGTAGCTACTTAAAGACCTGCCATCCCAGTTACTCTGAGGCATTGCCATCTTACATGAGCTGAGAAGCTCAGCATCTAGCCTGCACTTAAGGTTATTTAGGGTTCAGAAATTAGCGGGCCCCCCCTTGCAAAACCCCCTGAAGGACGCAATCCTCATACCAGTTCCCTGCCAAACCCCATTCCATGCCCAGTAAGCACACGTACAGCACACACACCCCATTCACAAGCACAGGTACTTCCATTAAAATAACCATGTTTTTTTCAAAACGAGGGCTGCCAAAGGGCACAAATAATGACACCCACAGTTCATACAATCTACTAAGCAATTACCCAGGCTCCAGAAAAACAGCCGGAAGGGCCTAAACCCCACAGCTCTGATATTCTAGGAAAGTCCCATGCTGCAGGAAATGGTGACACACGACACCTTTTTTTTTTTATAATCAAGCCACAGCAGAGAAATGTATGTAAGATTCAGGGGAAGTATATTTGTATATGGCACCTTTCAAGTGTTCTCTTCCCTCTTTAAGTGAGGGAAAAGAACTGAGAAGCACAGTGCGTTAGCTCAGGTTCAGCCAGATCAGAATAAAAGCAGAGCTGTCCATGCCTGCTGGGTAAATATCATGGGAATATAGGCAGAGAGAAGAGTGAAAAAGCACCAGACTTTGTAATCCAGCACATAAAGGTCTCAAAAGTTGGTGAGATGTGGTTTCCAGGCCCTGTCCTGATGGGGTATATATATTTTTCCCATGACTTCTTAGTACCAAATGCAACAAACATCTGCAGGTCCTTTTTTGGACCAGCTATTTCAGAGGAGTGCTGTCCTCACTAGACCATGGAATTTCAGGAGTGCTGCCCTCACTAGACCATAGAACCAGGTTGCCTCACCTGACACCTTTCTTTCGCTCCCTAAATCTTGATCTCCCTTCCACAGAGTGGCCCACTTTCCACCAGGATGCTGAGAATAAGTCCTGTGCCACTGTCATACAGAAACAGCTGTACTGGGTCCATCCAGCTGAGGATGTAGAACAGATGTAGCCATGCTTTCCTCTGCGACCCGTGATTGACTGGAGTGACTGCAGTGTCTGACAAGTGTCCTACAGCACTCAACGACAGAAGTCTGGAGAAAAGCATAACCACATCTCTCTTTTAGCAAACTACACAGAGTCTCCCTCGTTCCTGATCCTGAGTTGCTAGCGTGCTCCCTTGCACAGTGCTGATGTTGTCCAGCAGCACTCTGCCAGGCAGTATCTGGGCTTTGCCTGAAGGGCAGCAGAGGACAGTAAGTATTACGGAAAACGTCGCCATGATTTGAAGGAGAATATAAATCCGTGCTATATCACTGTGCCATAGAGTTCTAGCCAGTTTTATTTAGTAAACCACACAAAGCCTAAAAGAACAGGTCATGCAGGCAGTGATGCTTTCCCCCAAACAGCATATGCAACAACAAACAGCTTGTTTGTTAGATTGCTCACAGGTCTCCTCTTTCCTCTGCTGTTAAAAAGTAATGTGGAAGACGGGCAGTGATCCCACCAACATCACCTTCCTCATCATTGTCAAGTGAAAAAAATGAAGTTCTCCTCCATGCCACAAGGAACGATTTTTTTATCTAACTCCTACTTTCACATAAGCCTCTACTTCAGGGACAGAGATAGATTGAGATACGCTGCTTTTGTCCACATTTCCCATGCAGGATTAGCACTCCTTCCTTCTAGTATGAGAATATCTTCCTAACACTCCCCATACAGTACATGGAGAACATTGGCACCAGTTGGAGTTTCATAAATTCTACTCCCAGATCAAGAGGTCTAAATCCTTTTGTAGATTTGATCCCCACTCTTAGGAACTACAATAAATCCAAGGTGGAATTATATCTTGAAAATGATGGCATTGTATGCTACATGTTATTACTGAACATTGAAGGTTCTAGTCAATGTCCCAAGATGTCCTCAGAATACTTGGAAGAGGATTTTAACGATTGTGTGGCTAATTCATTTTATGGGGTTTTCAGAACAAGAGCCTGAACAAAAGACATAAATAGCGTAGGAATTAATAGAGGAAACATACTTTACTTCAGGTAGTTTATTCTGAGTTGTTATATTTGAGTTATTATATTACTCACCAATGACTTCTACTGTTACCGCTGTTCTCATTGTCCACTTGGTAGTGTTGTCATATAGAGTGTAATCACACACATATATTCCAGCATCTTTGCCATAGGTTGGATTCAAGTAGATTTCATTACGCTTAAGCTTTCGGCTTTGTCTGCTTTTCCTATGTTTTATCTGATGACCATCCTAATGAAAAGAAAAGAATATCGAGGAATTAGATGTCCTTTTTTCCGTTGTGTGGCTGCTATTAAATTATATTTTAAGATATTTGGATAGGATTTCCATGGCAGTAGGGCTAAGCCAAACTCTTTCCACTGAAGCCCAAAAAAAGATTTATTAGGAGTCTGAGGACATGTGTCAGTTATATTAAAAAACTGTGGTCTATATGTGAATATCTATACGTGAATACCATTGTCTTTTTAAAAAATGATTTAAAATTTGTGGTTGCTGAGAGAAATGTGAAATCATGAACCTAATCTAAATTAAACTCCTATTACTAAAGAGCAAAGAAAAGGATCACTTTTTTGATGGACTGGGTATTTTTTATTTTGTAAATAAATTATTTTGAAAACATTTTCATGTTCTTTTATAAGAAGTAAATCATGATTTTGGATTGTCTGAGATTGGCAACACTGTCACTACTTTTAAAAGGATGAAAACTGACTATTTTTTAAAAGCACCCCTATTTTTCAGCTTAGTGTATTTAAAACCACTAAGAATTTTCCTTAAATCAAATTCCTGAAAAAAATCCACTAATGCAAAATGGAAAGAATCTCCTTAAATTCAGTGGGCTTCAGATCAAAATGTGGGTAAAGATATACCTCATTTAAAGTTTGAAAGTAAATGGAGAGTAACTTTGACTAGATCATAATTCTACTTGATAGAAAAAATAATGTAAATAATACCAGGTAGTAAAATGCACAATTGAAATTTCAGTCATTTTCATTTACTCATTTATACAGGTTTAGACGGTATATTACAATCCTTGCAAACACAATAGGAATAAATTTTAGCTTGAAAGTATTTTAGCAGTAATTTGAAAAAGAATAAGTCAATAATGTTTCAGTGGAATGGTGCTTCATTAAAAACAGGAGTCTTGGAAAGAACAATTTGAAACATTAATCTTAAAAGAATTTTGTTTCTAACAAAGCCACTTTTTCTTTGGTATATTTGATATTTTCAGAATTTAAAATGCCAAAACAAAACTTAAAAATTTACATTTCAATCATGTGTCAGTTTTGTAAAGAACCTATTTTGATTCTCAATTACTTCAAATTCTTAGCTGAAGAGAAAGCATTTCTAGGCTTCTATTTCAGGGGATAATATTTTGGGCATGGCAAATTTCTTCAAAACTCTTACTTACAGACTTGATATATGGCAATTCAAGATTCTACTTTTGGGTTGAATTTCTCAGGCTGCATCGTCTGCCAAAGAAGAGTTCAAGAACCTATGGCACATAAGCATTAACTAGACCTAAAGCTATACCTCCACTGAGCTTTTTTGAATGCTCAAGAGAGTGACTCTTACCTTGTACCATTTTACATCTGGCTTTTCTATATGGCTGTAGCATTTTGTCCCAGGACAAGTTATTGAATTCCCACTGCCAGCAAGAAGATACAGCACATTTGTGTCATAACCTGAACATTTTGCCGCCTTCTTTGTTTGAACTTCCAAAACAATTTTGAGACATGGGATTTTTTCCCTGAGTGATGCAGAAAAAAGTTAAACATCTAATACACAAAACAAAATAAAACGATTAATTTTTTTACAGAAGTATAAGCCTTTTGCTCCATTACATACCGTATCATACAGATGTATACTCCGGAAGCACTGTCCCTTACTGGTTTAAACCAAAGTGCATTCCCTTGGAGAGCAGGATTAGAGCTTTCCTTGATAGCCTTCAGTGGCTCTTTATCTTTCTGACGCCAGAACCATTTCACCTTATGTTGTTTTAGAAGTGAGTTGTTATAAATGTGGGTAGCATCTCTATCTGGTAAAGCGCATTGTAAAACAAACTCCTCATCACTAATTGCACGATACCATATTTGAGGTTCAGCATGGGAACATCCTGAAAAGCAGGACAACAAGATATCAGTACCACCTGAAAGAACACACAGTCATCACGTTTAAAAAAAAAAAAAATAAGGAGTACTACAGAAATACTACTTTACCTTTCTTTGTGTTAAATAATTTTTTACGTGACCAGATGCTGGGCTAATAGAGAATTGATTTCCTTAAACATGGAATTTGCCAATGTTCTCAAAAGTTTATTCAAAGGTTTCCAAAGGTTTATTAGGCCTTTTTCAAAAGCCTAATGAGAAAATAGCTTAAGATTTTTAGTGAACTGAAGATTTTCACATGGGTGCTAACCTGTTAAACCTCAACTCTCTAGAAAAGCAGATGCAGTTCTTCCAGCTCTCCTCATATTAATGGAGAAGGGACTGACATAAACCTGAAGAAGCAGAGCCTGCCCACCACACTGCCTATTTAGGATAAGATTCACAGGCATTATTGTCTTACTGCTTTCAAATCTTTCCCCTCTTATGTTTCAGTTACTGTCACTAAAATTAAACAAATGTTTGGATTCTGAAAGCTGTGGTCACCCGTCCTAACCCCAAATTCTCTGAAGGCTGACCGACCTTGCTGCGTAACCCCTCCTCCCAATCAGGATGTGGTAATCCTTGAAAGTATGGTAGGATTTCACTTCAGCACAAGGAAGGGCGTGAAATCTTCGGTTCCTCGCCTGCCCACCTGGGAGACTCTTCACAATTTCAGTTTCTCTCTGTGAACTGGATTGGATCAAGCTCCTCCAGATAGACTGTGTGGGTGGAAGACTTTGATATATTGGTCTCACCCTGCCTTTCTCTTTCTCCTTCCCCTCGTCAGGCTTGGACCAGCGGCTGGAGACTTCAAGGAGTCACAGAAGCAATTCATTTGCTCCATTCGGTTCTCAGAAATTCTCCTTTACGTTTGCCCTTTTCTTTTCATTAGGGAACTGAATTTTGAATCCTATTTAGGGTAAACTGTATTAACGATACTTAAAAAGCTAGAAACAGCTGTTTGCCTGACACAAGCATGAACAGGTGCAGGAAAAACTCATGAAGGCATGGCAAAATGCAGATCCACTTTTCTCAGCTGTCAGAAAGCACCACGAACACCAAACCTCCCCAAAGCAGACTCTTACCTGGCAAGTTAATCTCTCTAACTTCTGCCCCACTGACAAACAATGCTAGGATCCAGGACAAAGTAAGCATGATTTTCTTTATCAATTTTGGTTGATATTCTGAGACATTTTCTTTAAGAGTCATCTTGCTTTCTGTAAAAGAGGAAAACAGATTTTCTTTTTGTAAATAATACTCCAGTAAGGTAGTTAGGCAATTACATATTTTATTATGTAGCTCTTTAAAACTTAGCAGACAGTATTTCCTAGATATTGTGCTTTTTAAAAATGGGGTTTGCAGCACTCTTCCTGCTCATACTATTTACACAAATGCAGGATAGATGATTTTCAAGAATGTGCAACAGTCTCTTTAAATATATCTTGCATGGAATTGCTTACAGATGGATTTCCAAGTTATACCTACAGCAATGGAGAACTCCACATCTGGAGTAGAAATGCAGGTCTTTCAGCAGCTGTTGCTGTTAGAAGAGGAACCTGTCCTTTAAGACGAGAGATAAGATACCAAATAACAAAACCAACCTTTATCTAATGACAACTATCAGCAACAGACTGAGAAAGGCATAACTGGCACCAAAATCCATGGAGCTCTGTGGTATCTTGAAGGCCAACAGAGTGTGTAAACTGGATTCCTTTGGGATTAAACCAAATCTGAAGATGTGCTGCAGCTGCAAATGGCATTGAGTCCATGGGACTGGAGTAGAACTATGCAGAAGTAAAACCCTCAAAGCATGTACTGTGTGGACACCAGGTCTTTGGTTCTAACTCTTTTACCCCAGAGACATGCTTCTATTGGGCTTTATTACCAGCTAAAACGGACATACCATAAGATGTCCACTAGGGTCAGCAAAGCAACCTAAAAAACCCTTCTTCTCCTCCATGACTCACCTGTGTGCGCAGCATCAGGCCTCACTTCTGCACCACAGTGCTGTGCTGCACTGCTTGAATGACCCTAGCAGAGGTCTGCTGAACAGGGTAACATCCACACCATCATAAGGTGTCAGCTCTGTGGTGTGCCATCTGTGAGCTGAGACTGGGAACACTCAGGGAATTTGGGAGCAGGTCCACAAAGCACTCAGCTGCACCCAGACCCCTATATTACAGCATCCTGTCCACGGTGAAACCCCAAACCCTATTGTATGAAGTGTTTTGCCTCTCCTACTAAAAGGTTTGAGCTGTGTCCCACAGCCTTCTCAGCCACAGAGCTAGAGGGAAGGCAGGCTGTCAAGCATGTATATTCAACAGCCATGGCTTAATCTGGGTATTTAGTAAGAGCATATCCGATGCCTGTGATTGACGTGTCTGGAGTGCCTGATTCAGAATCTCAGTGAGTAAGGTCATGTGCTTTGCTGATGTTGACATCGTGCAACTGAGACCTCAGGGAGCTTTTTTCTTTGCTCATATGGCCACAGAGTGACTCTGCATTTGCACAGCTGCCAGAGAGGCACTGAGTCAGCCCAAGGGAAAAAAAGAAAAGGTCTGGCAAAGGCTAGTCCCTTGTCTGTTGGCACCTCATGCAAATCAGACATGACTCATACAGGCAGGCAGCAAAGGAGCATCCAGTACACACTGAGCTAGCAAGAGAGGTGAAGAGAACTCCCACTCCGCACTTTTTCAGGCAGCTACTCTGTGTAGAGAGGAGTACTTTAGTCACCATTCTCTTAAGCATGTCTCTATTCCTTGCAAGTGAATGGAATGATCTATTTTTACACTCAGAGGTCACATGGAGTAAGTAGGTTAACTCATTTGTCTTAACCCATACTGGTGCTTTGTTACAGATTGGCTGCTGCCAAATGTCATCGCCCCATACATCTTTTAAAATCATCCTGAAACTCCAAGCCAGTAAGTAAGTCTGAATAAAGAGACAGAGTTTCCTACTAGCACTGGGTAAAGCCCTCCTAAACTTTAAGACTGTTCTTATCCACTGCAAAAAGATTAATGTATCCTGACTCTTTTGAATCTGGATTTATGACCAGCAAGGTCTTTCGTAAAGACCTCTCTCAAGGCATTCATTAGGGCTGTGTCTCTGTCCCTATTCATACTGTATAAAACAAAGGATGATGTTTTGAGTTATGTCACTCATCAGCCCACATGGCAAAGGCATACTGGTGCCAGCAGCAAGCAGGACCCAAGGGCCTTGTGTGTGATTCAGTGCTGCAGTCCCTTGAGCAGGTGAGCTGATGTAATGGGTCATTGTTGTCAAAAGGGGAAGGTCTCATCTACTTCTCCGTCCTTCCCACTCCCCTCTCTCTCGATCCCAGAAAATTAGTCCAGCGCCTCTCCTGTGACAGCTCTGGTCCTCTCTGGTGACTCAGTTCAATTTGTTAAGCCATCAGAAGCTATCTGAGGAGTTCCTGATGGCACAAGATAAGCAGCAGAAGCATTTACTTCCCAGCTGCATATTTGTCTGTAATCAGGGACACACAGGCTACGAGTGGCAAAACCACGTCAAGTGACCATTCACAAAGCATTTAATAAGACCAGTGATGTATAATCTCTCTGCTCTCCAGTTTACTGCCATGCTAACAACGCCCTCTTCCAGCTCAAAAGGTCACCACAAATGGGGAAGAAGTGTGAAAGGGAGAGTTAACTAATGAATATTATAGCTTTGGTTAGCAATCTGTATAATATTCTGTTGTCTTTTGCTAGCCATGGGAAAATACACCACTGCCAATTTTTCTGCTAACTGATAACACTTTTATTAGAGAACCTCAGGAACTTTGCATTTTTATAGTGCTTAAAAAGTATGGCAGCGTGTGAAATTACGAAGTGTCGTCTTGCAAGTGTGCTTAACAGGAAGAGAGAAATTCACAGCAGGAGGAGACAGCAATTGCCAAAGGAGGGGGGTACCTGAAACAGGATAATCTTAAACTGACCATTCAGGTGTATTTGCACTGCAGGTGAACTTAAGGTGATTCAGTAACTCAATACATTCAGTGACTCATTTTATCTTGGTCAGAATCTGCCAGAAAAAGAAAGCACTCTACTCTGGGCAACATATTATCAAGTGTCTCTCCGCCTTCTCCTGCCATGTACAAGCCCATATTATCATATCCTTAGTCTAGACATTTAGGATGCCATTTAATTGGAAAGTAACTTTTATACCAAGGAAACTAATGTGGTCTTAACATAATTTCCTGTGGTAAAAAAATGTAAGAGAAGAATAAGATCTGTATTATTTTGCCTATATTTCAAACTAAAGGACTCTCACAAGAAAAGAGTAAATCACTATTTCATAGCATTTTGTGTGTAATTACATAAAATATATGCAAAAGAAATCAAAATCAATTTCTTGAGAGCTGCACCAAGTTTCATGATATCTCTAAAGTCTAGTAAAGGGTGGCATGTCACAATCTTACAATCAAGCTGTAAGGTCTCACTTCAGGAACAGTTACCTGCAAGGACAGAGATTAAATACTTTCAAATGCTCTGCGTTTCCCAAGATGGTCAGCAAGATCCAAGGCCAGGTTGGATGGGGCTTTCAGCAACCTGGTCTCGTGGAAGATGTCCCTGCCCATGGCAGGGCAGTTGGACTAGATGATCTTTAAGGTCCCTTCCAACCCAAACCATTCTGTGATTCTATGACTATTCTGATTCTGATGAAAATCACTTCAGCGTCAGAGCTATCAATTCCCATGTCTTGTCTTGGATTTACATCAATGGAAAGGCAAACATAATCTGATTCTAAGAGTAAGATTAGTAATAGTCACACAGAAGAAAAAAGCTTCACCATACCTATAAAGCAAAAAAAAAAAAATCTAATGAATCTACTTACCAAGACACTACTGTTTTGTCTGACCAAGCAATTAAAACCAATTTACTTTAAAATTCACATTCAAAGACAATAAAACCAACTCACCTGTCAAGCAGATGGGGCAGGGAGGGCTAAAATCTGAAGCTAAAAGCTATAATTAAAAAAAAAAAATTATCTGAAAATCTTACCTGCACATCCTACACTACATGATAAGACTTGTGGTTAGTTCTAGCTGTGCACTGTGTTGAGTCTGTTTCCTTTACAGGAATTTCCTCTACCTCAGTGTCATCATCCCTTCCTTTCTCAGTTCAGTTGCGTTAGGTTCAAAATTTCCAGGTCATTTTCTTGTAAAAAGAACAGGGGAAAAAAGTTTGCCCCTAGTAAAAGATCAAAGCCTTTTGGGTTTTAAAATCTTCTGTTTGCACTGTGTGCAAAAATACATTGGACTTTTTAGTTTGTTTCATTTAAGAGCAGGAAGGGTGAAAGTTTCTTTCTTTTTTGCCCAAATGCTGCTACTAGATGGTTCAAAAAAGCGTGTAATATCTGAAATCTACAAGAGTGGCACATTTCTGCCCAACACCAAATAATATTCACTCTAAGAGCCGACTTCTCCTTACCCTTAGTGTCCTCAGCTAACTTCCACACCCGCTGCAAGCGGGCACTGTAAGGGGGCTGTGACACGCTGTTTACTTTCTGTGTCCTCCCAGTAAAGCCTTATTGGTTACCCCAACGCAGCTTTGGCAGAAAGAGAAAAGAGAAGCCCTGATGAATACGAGCTGTCTGTGACTTGCCCCTTGGACCCGCTAGGCAGGCAGAGCGCTTCAGCATATGCAGTCCCACACGGCCCAGCCCCTCTTCCAGGCTCCCTGCATGGATATAAAAGACAGGCTGCACAGTCCACAAACTACAGAAAAGCATCTGAGAGCACCTTGTCATGAATCCAGACCCCACTTCTCCCTATTTCAATACACGTCATGTAAATATATAGGTCCACCAGTTTGCACCAGACTTATTTCAAGAACAGTAGGACTTGTTTCTTCTTTTCTTGTGTGAAGTTCACTCTCTTTACTGCAAATTGGGTCAATTACTCTATTTCCACAACAAGAAGCTAAAAAAGGCTTTTTGCTATATAAGAGGCGATTTCAATGTCGCCTCTGTTTATACACATACCTTTAGGCGATGGCCACTATTAATGCTTGGTTGTATTGGGTCCTGAGCATTTGGAGATACAAGCTGTGTATTCGCAGCTTCTACCATGTGTTTCTCTCTCTCCTCTTTCCAGAACAGAGCCCATTGATGATCAAGCTTTGTGATTGTCTTCTAAAATATCTTCAGTGTTTTGCCCCAGTACAAAATATATGTTTGGTTTATAAGTTACAAAAGGCTCCAATGTATCTCTGTAGGTTTCAGCATAAAGAGTTAAGCTTTTTGAAGGTGTCCTTTCTGACTAGAAAAAAAAGCATTTTACTCTCCTCTTCTCTTGAAGGAATTAGAGTGCAACACAGATAAAGTCAAGCCCATGCTACCTTCAAGCCATTGCTCAGACTATCAGAAAGAGATGATTCTTTCCCAAAGATGCATCTTACAGACACAAAATATACTTCATTCATTTTAAATACTAATTGTCACACTCTCCAAGTACTAGGTTTATTACATATTCAAAAAATTAAGTAGAGCAGTCCAACTGCTAGAGCAGATGTTAGACGTACAACAGAAACACCAGTCACATAAGAGTTTTGAAAGCCGTGCTGCCAGAACACTGAGTAGTATGTCATACTGGTTACTGCACTGGATGAAAATCTTGTCAAATAGTACCAAGTATTTGGCTGAGCCTCTGCTCCAATTCACCCCATCCTCTCTTGTAAAAGTAATGTATATGCTAAAAAAGCAGCCTCACACACCTGTAATTCCCAGGTTCATATTTGCCTTTTGCTGCTAAAGCAAGTTTATAAAGGAGAGGGTAAAGGACTGCTCCAGAACACCCTCCCTGCTTCCTCTCTCTCCCCTCTCTCCCTCCCACTCACTCACTCACTCACTCACTCACACATTTAACATATTTTATACTATAGCTCCAGGAAATTGCAGGCTGCATGCTCAGGAGTGCTTCCCCACCCCTGTGGAAAGTCAAGGTGGGGGTCTGTATCTTACCTTGTCCATCTCACTTTTGCTCAAGCATTTTGCCAGCCAAGAAGCAGGGGAAAAAATGCACCATCTCAGTGTGTATGTAATGTAGTCTTATAGAACTGGGAGGATTACATGTCTTTAGTATTCTGGTACTATTCTGGCTTGACACATTTACACATCACCTCCTCCTCTGCCCAGCTATGGTTAACACTGAGTGGGTAAGAAATTTTCCACTCCGATCATCTTCTACACTGAGTCAGTGGTGTTGGTTCTGCTGTCGCGGGAGGTGTCTGAACAATATCTAAACATGAACCTCTGCCCATTTTGTACTAGGTTATACAGTCAGTGAAATGGCATAGAGTCGAGGGCAGCTTATGCAGCAGTGGGGTAACTCACCTATTACTCCTCTGTGAAATAAGGGTAGATGGTGTTATTTAGTACAAATTTGCTGCACCACAGTACATTCTGCTTTGGGCATCAGGGTGTAATATGGCCAGTGCCACAGAAGTACTTTGGATGTACTAATAACAGATCACTTGTGGACAGAGAAAGAGCAAAGCAAATACTCACAGCCCAGGCCTTCAAAATCTTTTCACTCTCACAATCTTTAGTAGTTAATTAGAAAAGATTGTCTAGCACCTCAAATTCCACGCCAATCCCTTCTTGCCTTCCTTGATAGTCTAGCCTGCTTACTGCAAGCCAAGAAACATAGAACTGACAAGGATGACCATTGTTGTATTATGGGTTTTCTTTCAGAAACTTACCGTGCTCCAGCACAGAAATAGGTTAGAATAGTTTCCCCATTACTCCCATAGGAGACCTTACTGTTCTAATGGCTTTAATGCCCATCGTAAATTTATTCATGGCCACGTGTCTGTGTGAACACTGTTCCTTAGCTTAAACAACTCCTCTTCTTTCTAGTGATTCTTCTTTTCCTGGATGCATTTGTTGACAATGCTCCTATTCCTTTCCCTGTTCATTTTACCAGCCTAAACAATTTAAACTCTTCTAGAAACCCTTTACATGATTCTCCTGGTGATCCTCATGGCTCTGCCTTGCACGTCTCAAGGTTTCACTTCATTGGTATTTGCACTGTATCATTTGATTTTCCTTCATCATGCTGGCAGCTGGCAATAATCCTGAGGTTCTCACAAGTTTTCATTTCCAAAGTATGAGTTCCTTCCTTGTAGCTGAATTTTTGCCACTAGTCCCCAAAGGCAGCATCTTCCTTAAGTACTACATAAATAAATATGTTTAATATACTACATACTAAGCCACTATACACAGACAAGAGACACTGCTATCACAGCTGACCTGAATATTTGGGCTCGAGTCTCCAAC